CTTTCTTCTCGAACGTTCGACGGAGGCGTCCCAGCGCAGGAACGTTCTTTATTGTTCTGTCCAGCTCAGTCAGAGGAGTGCAACTTCCTATACTGCCCATGGAACGCGAATTACTAAACCCTGGGAGTCCGCAGCACGATTTGAATTCCCTGGTGTCCGGAGGGGGTGGGGGGGGGAGGGAGGGCTGTACGAAAATCAATATGGCGGCACAGCAAAATCAAAACCGAAAGTGAACGGCAGCACCATTGTGTTTGGACAGATGGGCGGCAGCTTGCGCCACCTAAATAAAAAATTAATATTGTAGCTTTTTCTTTTTTTGCCTGGTATGCGTGTTGCTTTGCTAAGCTTCTGCTGCTTTGCGGCTGGTTTTCGCGTTTCAATGCTGGTTAATGTGCGTTAAAACGCACGCAAGCCAGTACTTAAACGCGAGATCAGCAGCAAAGCACCAGTACTTAATCGCGAGACCAGCAGCAAAGCAGCAGAAACCTGGCAAAGCAACAAAAGCGACACATACAGAAAAAATATGCAATGCTTGTTCTTTTGCGTTCATTTTTATTAAACAGACAGTAAAAAATACAGAAGAAATTTCTCACTATTTTGCACACAAGAATCAAAGAAATGAAAAACAAAACAGGATGAAACGTTAAGGTTACTTGCGACGAAGGTGACGATATGCGTCCTTGCAAAACCATTTCGCTAAATTTACATAAAATCTCTGTAAATTCGTGATCTTTTTCGAGCTTCTTGGTGTATACTCACAAGCCTTGCTCTGTCGAGCCGCAGGCGTGGAGCCTAGAAAAAAGAAGTTGAATTACTTGCTTGATGGGCCTGACATGGTCATATGAAAACAGCGAGCATATTCTGTACCTCCTTTAAACAAACTGTACTTTAAGTTCAACACTGCGACACCAAATACTCTGTCTCCTTTGTTTTTCTTCTCCTTGAGTTAAATGCTTCCACGCTAAATTGACAATCATTTCGAATTTGATTATATAAGTAAACATGAGTGAAGACCGACGACGGTGTCTTGCAACTAAAGTAAACTAAGCAATGAGGTTAAAACAACAGAAGCTCAGCTCTTTGGTATTGAGTCTACATCGCGAACCTGTATTAGATTTTAATACTGTCACTTGAATTTAAGAGTGCGTCACTGCTAAACGAAACGGGAAACCAGTACGGATCGGTCCATCGCTCATCCTGTTAATCGAAAAATATTTAGGCTCATGTTCACCCCTCGCTAACAGACACGTGAATCGCTGACAACCATCCCAATAAACAGTTCACTGCAAAAAGTTTACCATCTTTTGAAGTGCATATGTGCTCGATCTTGATATTGCATAGGAATGGCCAGTTATTTGACGATGACATATTTCTTGCGGAGAGTGAACAAGGAAAATCCTAAACAATGATAGGATATGGTTTTGCGATTTGAAACCATCGCAGCCAACGGCGTAGACTTTCCATTTTCCCAGGGAGGGGGGTGCGTTTCCGCGCAATTTTTTTTACGCCGTTTATTATCATTAGTTTATTTTAGAGGGAACTAATTACAGCGCATGTATATCACCATGTGTCCGTCGCTGTGTATCAATGTCAATCACCGTGCAAGCGTAGCCGTGTGTTCATCGCCGGTACCACGGCGCATGCGCCGGCGAGCACAAATTTTACGCGACCACTTGCCGCTGTTACCAGGCGTGGAGCAGCTAAAACAGAATTATCAGCGCCACGTCGGGGCGCTGCACTTCAGCTATCCTTGTAACAGCAGTGCTCTTGGTCCATTACTTTTTCTCATTTTAATTAACGACTTGCCAACCAATATTTTCTCACGCATGCGGCTCTTCGCGGACAACTGCATCATCTATCGCTTCATTGGCCGCGTTAAGTTGGGACCCCACGACTCCAGTTCGGGTAACTCCCTCGGAGTCACTACTAAACAAACTAAACGGGACATCGCAATATGGCAGGCTGCTGTGGAAGCAGACCAACCGGACGTAAATGTGATTGATGCCGCATTACCTTCTTGCCCCAGAACTAGAGATTGAAGCTAGCGAAAGCAAACTGGGATTCCATTTCCCATGTATTTTGTCAATAAAGACGTGGGCGTTATTTTGTTTACTTGTCACTACTAGAAGCTCGTTACATGGCACGTAAAGAGCGTCTCGGTAACAACCATAATCCAATGGGGGGGGGGGGGGGCTCTGCCCCCCCCCCCCTTCTTTCGGATCTCACCAGGGGGCGCACAAGCCCCGAAGGCCCCCCCCCCCCCCTCTCCCGTAGTCTACGCCTATGAAGCTACTGCCAAAATCAAACAATACTCACTACCACATTGACAATTAGAAATTGGGGAGAGCGAGCAAGCTTTCCCAAGTTTGTCTCTTTTCTCTCTGGCACTGCCCCTAGTTTCAAGTTTCAGTTTTAGTAGGCATACCACTAGCAGGTACAAACTGCTCTAAACAAGGTTAAAGACAGGGGAAGTCAGGACGGTGCGAACTCCGTGTTTCGCGCTTTTCGCAAGGTGACTGGGTAAATGCTTTTGCGAGGTATGCGGAATACGCAAACGATTTTGTTATGCCCGTCGTTTGTGTCTCCAGCAAAACGAATAAGATGATCTACAAAGGCGCAATCACAAGTCAAGATTTACGACAACAGTGCGTTTGCTTCGGTGGTCCGTTGTATTTTACCTTGCGTTCTGCAACGCCGTGCCATGACTAAGAGCTGGAACGCCCACGGTTTGTGCTGGCCTACCGGTTGACAGAAACCCGCATCGCCCGCATCGGCACCAAGGGCACTTGGGCTGTTGATGCTCAAGCCTTTCATTCACGGCTTGTCGCCAGCCGATCCTGGCTGCTCGACAATGACAAAGCGGCGAGAGTGACCTCTGAAGTAAATGTAAATCCTCCTTCATCCAGTTACCCGATGTCAAAGTGTGCAAGATGTCCAAAGCGTAGTGAGGGCGGGAACTACAAGGGTTTTGCCTTGCTTTTATAACCGAAACCAGAGCGGAGATACCTGCCTTGCGTACTCCAAACTGACGGAAGCAATAAGTTTCAACAGGTCCAGTACGTCACCGGGAATGTAGGCGAGACGGTGCACACTGTTTAAAAGCGTGCAGTATCTACGAGTGGTACCAGGAAAACAACGCCAACAGAGAAGAAGCTTCCGATTCAGCAAAATGCAGTGCCACGGGCCCGTGAATCTTCAAAACTCGAAACAATAACGAAATAAAAAAAAACAAAAAACGTATCAGCGCCACATTAGTGATCACGAATAACACCGGTCACAAACTCCCAAGCCTTACCACTCCAGTCGACACCGACATGAGCTACGAAAACAAACTGCATCAAAACGCTCCAACAGTGAAAGCGTCTGCTCCCGTACTGCAACTAGCGGAAGTGTTGGGCCGGATGTCTTTTACAAGTATCTATAAGAAAATGCTTTGCGCAAGGATCATTTCCATTTAATATTGGATACATAATGATAAAATCCCAATAATTTGTTTTTCTATCTGATTCAAGCTAGTCGGACTACTCACAAGACTGGTCGAGCATGAAAATAACAATAATTTGAACTTTTTCATGGACCGTTTAAGATTTATTGTTAAATCATCGTTAGTTTTCGCAACGCACTAACATTAGAGAATTCGCATCCATACATTTTAAATGCAAACAGTTCTTACATATGGCTGTACCTTGCGCCGTGTTTTGTGTCTTCTATAGATCTGTAACGTTCAGCGACCAAAGAGCTCTCCCGCACATGTCAAGCTTATATGCGCCGCAAGAAGAAAAGCATGTTGAGTAGTAGTAGTTAGTGGTGAGGGTAGCGGAAAGCCGGAACATGTTCATGTTGAGTAGGAAGTGTAGGGCACAGTGGTCGTTGTTGTTTCTGTATATGTCGGTGTCGGTGCTGTGTAAGGGAGGCACTCACTTGATCGAATGACATTTTAGCGAACGCCCACGTTTCATCGAACGACATTTTAGCGAATAGTTCGGGTGGGCCAAGTGAGTTCACATTTTTGTAATGAGTTGCCGTAGACTGTCGCCGCGAAGCGGCGTAAAGCGCAGCGCGACGGATGGGTTAACGCGTGCCCCCGTTATTCGGTAAAACGACCATTCGCTCAAATGTCGCCATTCGCTAAAATGTCATTCGCTCTTGTGATATGGACCCGCTGTGTAATACGTGGCAACCGTGTTGTCTGCGATGTATGTAGGGTTGCTGTCTACTCGTGGTCGTTCGCAGCGTATTAACAGGCCCGTTTTTTTTTTTCCATAGGCTGCTAGAAATCTCACTAGGTGGCGAGGTTATCACCCGATTCTAAATAGTTTGCTCGAGTTATTTATCGATGTAAGTTCGGCATTCGTTTTTTCCCTAGCGGTTCCGTCGTAGCTAGCGACGCCGCCGACCGCCGGCGACGCACGTATGTACGTACCTTTGCACATAGCTACGTCCGCCACTTGGAGGCTGTTTACTGTCAATAAAAGACATCGATCGAGAAAAAAAACGCGTCGTCTGCTTTTAATTTGGCTGAAAGTCGCGCGGCTCGCTGCGCTCGTCTCTCGCCTGTTCTCGGCCGCTGGCCGCCATGTTTTATAAGGAACACGCTCAGGCGTGTTTCGCTTAAGGCAGACATGGTGTATCGTGTTAAAGTTTACACGGCACCTCATGTGTAGACGAATAACACACATGGCTGCATGTAAAACGAACACGTTTTGACGTGTTCGCTATGGGACAACGGTTTACACGTCTGGGAGTGTTATTTTCGCTAACGCTGTATATAAGTCTCCCTGGTGTATTTTTCTTGTATTAGTTTTTCCTGATAAGGTTATGCGATTATTATTTCTTGAATTGCCTGTCCTCGCACACATGCAGGTTTCATAAAACAACACTTACGATATGAAAAAAAAATAGACCTACAAAATCTTATTAATATTATTAATCCGCTCGGTGCTGCGTGTAATGGTGTGATACATTGTGGTTTCGGATGAACGCAAGCAAAGAGATTGAGATACGCCAAAAAGCCAACTCGTGTTTTTATTTCTTTTAAGGAACGTGCGCGTCACTTAAGCCAAAGTATAGCACATAAACGTAACGCGATTCATAGCTGAAAAGGTTTTTTTTTTCTTTCCGCCCCTTCACTCAAAAATGGAATCATGCAGCCAGGACAGAGATACTGGTAAAGAGAGAAGCGCGCCAGCCGATCACGGCGTCGGGTGTGTGCACTTTGTATTGCCATTGACCGGCGCAGAAGGGGATTTATAGAACAGGTTGGGGGAGGGGGGAAAGGGAGATCTGCTTTCAGGGGTGAAGCGTTGCCGAGATCCTTTTTGCTGATATAATAATGAATATTTCACAAAAACTGAACATTTCTTTCTAAAAAAGCTAGTGTTCTGTCGTTGTTTTATTTCTTGTTTTTTTCAAAAAAAGGATGGCCTTGGAAAGCTCAAAGGGCGGGGCCTCCCCCCTCCACACTCCCTGCCTTCCCCCCCCCCCCTGGCCTCCCTTAAATCTGCCCCTCGACCGGCGCCTTGGCTCAAAAATGGTACCGTGCAACCACTGCGAGGTGCTAAAGGAAAGAACAAAGTGTTACTCTTCCGTTTACAAGGGCTACACAAAAAGCGCTCTAGTAAAGGGAACAGTACAAACCTACTATGAACCACCGAAGGCTGCACGCGCGCTAGTTTGCGTTGTCGGTCATGTTGGAATAAAGTCCCTTGCTTAAAAGCTCAATTCGCAATACCGCCCAATCGGCCTGGGCCTTTAGCAGACGGCACGCCTCCTGAAGCAAGGTTACTCGCAGTTCTTTCTCGCGCGGATCCCCAGTTTCCGGACTCATATTTAACACGATTTGCGTGCTGCCCAAACCGTGCATTGTTAACGCTATTCTGGCTGAATCGTCGGTGGCGTTCCAGCCGTTCCTCGTGCTCTCGTACGAAGCGATTCGGAATGCAGGTTCGAGTGATCCCTTGACGCCTGCCTTCGCGTCCCGAGAATTCACGTCGCCTGCTTCATGTTTGATGGCACCGGGCTTCTCTCCGACGTCCCCGTTCATGGAGTCGTCGGACGAAATACAATAACTGTCGTCTCCGTCATCGGCGTCGTTTTGGACAGAGTCGGCGTGGTCAGGCCTCGCAGGTGGAGTAGGTGGCGGAAGAATCTCGCTTTCTTGAGCCCCTTGGTGACCGGACGGCCAAGCAGAAGTTCCTGGTTCGTCTGAGCCCCTGGGATGCTGGAAGTGGACGGGACTTGGCCGATCAGCCGCAGCCGGACTATCGACCAGGATGCCCGCGAAGCTCACTTTGGCACTTTCTATCCTGGAACAAAGTAAATCGCGAATACAAAATAAGAGACATTATCAAGGTTATGCCAGATCATTGTTTTCGCCCTGATAACGACACCCGTTAACGATACGATGCATACCCAAAGCCGCCGAAGGGGAGAGGAGGTATCGTTATCGGGGCGAAAAAAAAGTGAAAGCCGTTTACAACTCCCTGTAACGCCGAATTAGAGCGCAGCTCTTGAGGAGGAGAGAAGGGTACTTGGGGGGGGGGTGAAGTGACCTGGGGGGGTCACGTGACCTTGAGGGGTCATGTGACCTTGAGGGGTCACGTGACGATGCCGAGGATGTCATTAGTGACATCACTGATGACGTCATCAGTGACGTTGACGATGCGGACTCCGATGACGTCATCAGCGATGATGACGATGACGATGTCGGTGACGTCATCAGTGACGTCACTGATGACGTCATCTGTGATGATGACAATGACGATGCGGATGCCGTTGACGTCATCAGTGACGTCACTGGTGACGTCATCAGTGATGATGACGATGACGATGCGGGTTAGGTCATCAGTGACGTCACTGATGACGTCATCAGCGATGATGACGATGACGATGCGGATGCCGGTGACGTCCTATGGGAGGTCAGGTGACCTCGGCGGGGGGGTCACGTGACCTCGGCGGGGGGGGGGGGGGGGGTCACGTGATCCTGGGGGGTGGTCACGTGACCTCGGGGGTGTCACGTGACCTCAGGGTGGGTCACGTGACCTCGAGGGGTGTCACGTGACTTTAGGGGTCACGTGGCCTCGGGGAGTCACGTGACCTCGGGGGTGTCACGTGACCACGGGGGTCACATGACCCTGGGGAGGAGTCACGTGACCCCTGGGGTGACCTTGGGAGTCATGTGACCTTGGTTACGCCGACGCCGCTCAAGCCGGGAACGGGCCCCTAAGAGCTGCGCTCTAAAAACGGCCTGCTAAGACTCTCTGTTAGATCAACATAGATACGAAACTGCCAGCAGATGCTGCTTCAGCGAACAGCACCTATCTATCGCCAACAGTGCGCCTCCCATCAGTCGACGCGCCACCGTCTCTTGGGGGGGGGGGAAGGGCTGCTATGGAACTACATATTACGCTGCTTTTGAAGAACAGCGTCTAGATAGCGCTCCTTCGCAGCGTCTCCTAAGAATATTGTTTTGAAACGCAGCCTCTAGATTACTTGTCTCAAACTCACTGGAGTTTTTGAAACAAATTTCTGACTCCAGAAAAGTAAAGGGCCAACGTAGAGGGGGGGGGGGGGGGGGAATGTTGTTTTTGAGGAGAAAAAAAAAAAAAAATCCTTGAAGGTCCAGGTTGCGGAGCAGCTTTGTCCGCCCGACATCCTAAAATATTGACTTCGTACTCTGTGCTGCTTGTGAACTCGCCATTTTGCAAGTGACATATTTAGCTTTGAATAGTTTTGAGACTCTTTTTAATAAATACGTGATGGGGCAAGAAAAGCAAAATGGCGCCGCTCGAAGAACGTGCTGGCATTTTTCATGGAACAATAGGATATACCGTCGTTCCCCTGTCGTTCACCTCATTCAAAAATAATCGAATACAACGTCATAAAAAAAAAAATCTTTACGATACAGTTTTTGCCATCTTGTCGATTTTTAGGACCATTATAAAAATTAAGACTCCCGCTGGAGTGTTATTTTCTGGCCTCTTATTCATTAGGAAAATAATCCGTGGAGAAACGGAACAAGCAAAATGTGCTGCAGTGAGGAGACGTGTGTCATGGTCTTCGTTGTCGAGGCAAGATTGATTGAACTGCGTAGGTTTATTCTAGCATAGCAATAAAGGTGGGAGTCGTGCCGTGTCTGGTTGCGATCTTGCGGGGAGAGGGTCCGCTCGCGGAAGCGGCGGGCAGAGGTCAGGGTCACCCGGCGGCGGTGGCCATGATGATAACAGTGGCTGCGATGATGATATCTCCCGACAACGTGCTAGCGGGCAGGCGTTCCTCCGAACTGGAATTGACCCCGTAAGTGATGACATCATAACCTGGCGTCTGGGTCCAAACAAACCGTTGCTAGGGGCGTTGCTATGGACTAATGCGTGGAGACTCCACATGAGGCTAGATTTTTGCTTACAAGTAAATATTTTTTTGTAAGCAACCTAACTCCTTGTTATCTAATTATGAAGATGTTCTTCTCGTCTCAGTGTCGTATTGCAACAATAAAAGCCATTTCTGAAGTATTACACTCCGCTTTGCTTTGGTAGCAGACGACATGATAGATTTGCTGACCTCTGTTGCGGCGGGCGTCTTCAATTGCGCCGGTAAACAAGCGACAAAGACAAGTGCATTGCCGACGCCGTAGAGGCCTCCGCAATGTGCGTTTTTTTCTGTGAAGAACCCAGCTTAGTTCAGAGGGTGAAAATGCCGTAAAATCAAACCACGTCATGCAGATCATGTACAGTCGAACCCGTTTATAACGAACTCCATCGGACACGCATTTTAGTTCGATATATCAAGTAGTTCGTTATAGCAAATATCACTATTTCGTGAGGACAGCAAAAGCGAGAGAGATGAAAGGAAACTGCGCGGAATAGCGGCGAAGGCTGCCGAGCGTAGCGAGTCTCACGCCGGCGATCAGAGCCGTGTTATCGCGAGACAGCTTTCATGATGGAACATATGTTTTCATATTTCTATCAATAAATTTCAATATTGAAACATATCATCTAAGAAAGCCCGAAAATTTCTAGGTAACAGACAATAAATGAACACGATAATTCCGTAAAATTGAGAAGAAAAAAAAAGTCGTGGCACTTACGAGAGAGGTCTTTATTACCTGTTCTTTTGATATTACCGACAGAAGCTGGTAATTTTTGCCTGCGTCTTCGCTTTTACTGCGTCCTTCAAAATTTCGTCCTCGACGCGAGATAGCTGGTTTACCAGACTTAGTCCACTTCCCTGAATCTGGGAACAGTAGCGACGGAGCACTTCCGTCGCTGCAAGCGCCTCGTGAAGCGTCGGGCAAGGTGCCTCTGGGTCCTCTGCCTCCTCGTCGTCGTCGTCGTTTGCTGAAGCCGCCACGACCTCGGCGACAATTTCGTTGTCTGAAGGACTGCTGGTCACTGCGACATCATCATCCACTCCGAGAAAATCTTCCAGCTCCACGCCATCCGGGACCGCGTCGGGAAGACGGCCGAGGTCTCTCCACATCTCGTTTAAGTCGTCATCCGTAACCTCGATTGCCTCTTCGGTACTTGCTCTGTCGTTATCCAGGTACAGTCCCGCGTGGCGAAAACAATTCTTAATTGTGTTAGGCGCGATGTCGCTCCAAGCACGGCTAAGCATTTCAATAGCACCGAACAAATCAATCTTCAGTTCTTTTCCCACACGCAGCTTGGTGAGCAGCTGCTCCACTACACGCTTCCTGTAACCTTGCTTGAAGGCACGGATGATGCCTTGATCTAGCGGCTGCAGCACCGATGTCACATTAGGGGACAGGAAACGAAGCTGAATTTTTTTAGCGTGGCACCACAGTGATGCGCGGAGCAATTGTCGAGCAAGAGGCAAATCTTGCGGCCACTCTCGGACAACTTCTCATCCCAGTCGCGCAGCCAGTCCTCGAACAACACCCTTGTCATCCAGGCCTTTCCATTTGAAGTGTATTTCACTGGAAGAGACCGACACCCCCGTAGGCACATAGGGGCCTTGCTCTTGCCGATGATCAGTGGCGTAAGCTTGGAGCTCCCGTCCATATTCGTGGTGAGGAGCACCGTAATTCTAGCTTTGTTCAGCTTGTTGCCATGGCACTTCTCGCCTTGTCGTGCCAAGGTCCGACTGGGTAGGAGCTGCCAAAACAGTGCGGTTTCGTCGGTATTATAAATATCGCAGGGCCTGTACTGCTCCGTAATTGCTGGCCAGTTTTCGGCGATCCACTTCTTGACGCTTTCATTGTCGACTGCTCGACTCTCGCCGGCGACAACTTTGCCGACGATGTCGTAACGTTTCTTGAACCGTTGAAGCCATCCGGATCCGCCACTAAAATCTTGAACGTCGAGCAAAAAGGCAAAGTCTTTTGCTTTCTGCTGTAACATGGGGCCCGAAACTGGAAGGTTTCGAGCGCGAATATCCAAACACGCGTACAGCGCCTTTTCCACTCTGTCAAAGGCAGGCGCCCGAATGCGCTTTCCGTCAGCGTTCGGTCGATCTCGGGCCTTTTGCAGGATCGCTGGCTTGTTTTTCAGTATCGTACTCAGCGTGCTTCTGGCGATCTTGAAGGATGCGGCGACTTATGACTTCTCGCCGCGCTCAACGCGCCGGATTATTTCCACCTTGGTAGAGAACGGTAACGATGAACGCACCTTGGTCGCCATCTCTTGCGGGAACAGGAAGGACACAAAGAACAACGAGCCTCCTCGGCAAAACGCTAGGAACAAGAGAGCCATGTCCGGCCTGGTACGGCTGCAGGATGATGTCATCAGAACTTCATGGCACGCTTGCTCTATCATTGGCCAGCCCGCTTCCGCGGGGGCCGGTTGCGGGCGTTCGCAGTCGGTGTTGTGACTCATCTTCTCAAGGGTCATCGTGTTTTTCTTGGTTTTCTCTTGTCCTCTGTCGCTCCGTGCATGGCAGGGAAGCCAGCGCGCTTCCGCGGGGGTCGGTTGCGGGCGTTCGCAGTTGGTTTTGTGACTCATCTTCTCAAGGGCCATCGTGTTTTTCTTGGTTTTCTCTTGTCCTCTGTCACTCTGTGCATTGCAGGGAAGCCCGCCCGTCTCCACGGGGGCGGTAGCGGGCGCTCGCAGTTCGATATATCCGATGTGTGGTTCGTTATAGAAAGTATAGTTCTCATGAATATTGATCTTAAAATCTCGTGTGTTCGATATAGACCATAATTCGTTCTAACCGGGTTCGTTATAAACGGGTTCGACTGTACGACGACGACCTGAAGTGCATTACCGGCGTAGTGCAAGCTAGTATCAGAAACAAATCGTACGCTGTCAAGGTAATTCGTTTATTATTAGGGCTGGGCGTCGATTAAAAA